AATTTTTTTAAAAATTTTTTTCCATTCTTACTATCAGACCAGAAAACTGACGGGCGGGTGGGCGTGCGGGTTGGTTGGGTGGTAGGTGGGTAGTGTCCCCGAAAAAAATGGTCGGAAACCATAACGAGCGGCCGACAAACACGCGTTGTGTCAACGAGTGGAATTCAACCACGTACAATGTGAGCACAGGTGCAGACCAGCGTTTAGCGGCACGCAGACATAGGTTAGCAGGTAATGATGACAACACCTAACCGTGCAACAATCGCCGAAACGCGAGTGACGACGATTGCCGCCGAAGTTGCGCCTACAGCGATAACCACCGAGTGTGGACGCGACCGCGACAAACACCGTTTCGGACCAGCCGGCGCGGTTTTGGCGAGGGCGGGCAATGCCGTCTCCGGCGTGCAGAACGTACCTCTTTAGCGCGTTGTAAAGCCGCGGCGAATGCTTGACTCTGATTCTTTTCCGTTGGCGGATTCACCGCTGAATAATCACTCATTGTGAAACATGAAGAATATTATCGCTGACGAAATGGATGCTTCCCGCTGAAGTAGTGCTTGGGCCGTTGGCGCGCGCGTGTCCGGGGTAGGTCGGTGGTGCGAGCAACGTACGCAATGCGCGGACGGTGAGCTGAACGGCGGGCGAGGGAGAGAGACAGAAAATAAGTATTTGTTGTAAACGCACAAAGACGATGAATTTATTAAACACCTAAGCTAACGAGACACGCTCGGACCGCGCAAACAACAAACCGCCGTGTGGTTTATAGACTATAGCAGTATAGCCTGTTCGGTGGTCGCACGTATGTTGTGTACTTGTATGCACGAATAGCGAACGGCGTCCGTCGGCGACGAAATGGGTGGGCGGGTGGCGGGCAGGCGCAGGAGAAACGACAATACAATACGTGTAGTAGTCGTCTCTGTCGCACTGACAGCGGCGCGCGTTGCGCTCTGTCCGCGTTGGATGTTTACGGTTGGCGGGGGGTGGAAGAGAGTGCCGAGAGAGAAAACCAAGCAAAACGTGATTACCACCGTCAGACAAGGACGTTCTATACACGAACGCGCTTCGGCCATGGAACAGTCAATAGCAGCCTGTGATTTCTCGACCGCTGCGGCGTCGCGCGCATAGTTTTGGTCCGAAACGTCAAAAAATCTATATCAGTGTATCACAGAGAACATTCCTACTCCTATAGGGCACAAGCGAGAAGGCAACACTCAGCAACAGGCTACAAATTACAATACTGCAGCAGAACCTTCGTCATACACAGATTCTTATAGCTACTATAGAAATATAAGTTGTAGTACACTGTCTAGTATAGTGTATACTGTATAGTATGCAGGGTGCATTCAGTGGCGGCTCGTTGTTGCTGTCGGTGTCGGTACTAGATGCGGTATCCTTAATTTAATTCATATGTAATGTTCATATACTGAAGAACATGAAAGATATTTCCATGGCTCTAATGGTTGGTTAGCAGAAAATAATAATAGTATAGAATTAAGTACATACATTATAATTATCACCATTGTTGTAACTAGTATGTAATATTGTAGTATCGTACTGGCTAGATAGATACTATAAAAAATAATCATCAGAATAGCATGTAGGTACAACATTATAATGTTATAACTTATAATAAATCTAACTAGCTGTATACGCCCCAGACGATGGTGCACCTGCTAAAATTTGTTTTTTTTTTAAATAAAAGAACTTAAGAACGTGTATGTCACATTTATATTAATATAATATGTAACCAATGACAACCATTCAAATACACAGAAAAATAATTGATGTTTGAGAAACAAAATTAAATTCAGGTGTGAGCCACCCTGCAATCGTTATACTACGTGCATATATTTATTTACCTGTAGGTATATTTAAAAATATTGAAAAATCAAAGATGGTAGGTATACTGTTGATTTCCATAATTTTTATTTTTATACATTTATGATGAACTAAATACATTTTTTTTTAAATAATTCACTTGAATTAAAAAATATTTTTGATTATTCCATTTATTATATCATTGAAACAACTTAAATTAATTTGAGTTAATGCTACAGCATTCAGTGCAATGCGAGTGGAAGCCAGTGGATAAACAAAATGTTTGTTTTTTTTTATTTTGGTTCATACATCATAGATGTATAGATTTATTGGATTTTCTACTCCATAGCAAGGTACTTAAAGTTGATCATGTGAAAAACATCGGTTTTCTTAATTCAATCTGCAGACAACCAACATTGGCTATCCTTTGTTGATTGTTATTCCGAAGGCGCTTTAGTCGTATTTGAATGTAAAAGCCAATTCATTAGAAAACATTGGAATTATCAAAATCAGCATTAAGCACATCCCCATTATATCAACCGTCAATTATTGTTTCCTTAATCATATTCGGTATCAGTTTTTTCATAGAAACTTCACAGATTCTTTATAACCTCTAAGTCTTACGGAATCTATTGATATAACTTTTATAGAAAACGGTCCAGTAGTTTTTGAGTTAAATAATTACAGACAGAAATACCAACATTTATTTTAATACATATAAAAGTGATTATTCATTCTAAACACTATGTAGATAACCCTGAAAATTAAGTTATGTAGAAAGTATATAATTGGAGAGGATTTTAGCTTTTCAGTGTAGCTACTCCATGTTAATGGAGATTCAATATAGTATATCCAGGTGCACCTGGCTTTTCCGTTGACGATGAACGAAGAGAGAAAAGGTCAACAGAAACAATGGGACGGCATTCGCGTCGCTGGAGTCTTGGCGAAAGGTTGGTGAGTGGTATAATATAAAATAATTATTAATAGTTATAAATAATCGTTGGGCATTGTGCTGCAATGATTGGCAGAGGTTGTATTTGGGACTCGATATTCAGGACGTGCAGGTGATAGTGGTATGGGACACTGACACTTTCGAGCATATAGGTGGCTCACAGCAGAAAACGGTTATCATTGTATAGGTCTGACGAAAAAATACAATATAAATAAAATGTGTCAAACAAAAATGAACATAACTTACACTGAACATCACGAATTATTGAAACTAGGCATGTACCTTAACTCAATTACCAAATTTATTAACTAACAAGAAACTATTTACCAAAGTGCCAAGTGCCAACTTAAATTTTAGATTCTGAGATAAATATATTGATTTTACAATGAGGTGTGATTTTTATTTTGTGTGCCTGTGTACACGATAAGTAATAAGTAGTCAAAATAATGCTTCAATTTTCAACTTTTGTATCTTTTCTGTAGTGGGCAAGTAAATATAGTTGATGCATTTCGGAGGTCAAAATTTAAAATTTCAAGTAGTTTTCAAAAGCACAGGGATAAACAAAAAAAAAAAAAAGGAAAAACGGGAATTTTTACCCAAAATCAGTTTTAGTAAAATCGGTTTTTGTTTTTCGTGCAACTCTTAGATTCCTACATGAAATATTAGCATTTTATTACTATGAACTATTTGGCTTTAAGCTTATGAAATTTTCGATTTTTATAATAGATTTTTAAAATTTAAAAAAAAAAGCCTGAAAGGCTCACATATTGGTGCAATTATTGAATTATTATGACGACTTCTCTAGACACTCATACTTGTTTTATTTTTAAGTCTGTGTATGCGATAAGTAAGTAGTTAATACAGATTGATTTGCAACTCCACCTTCAGTATCTCTTCTGGTAGAAAAGTGAATCTAGTTGGTGTACTCGGGGGGAAAAAAATGAAAGAAAAACGGAAATTTGTATATATTATAATTTATGTTATATTGTTTAATTATAATGAGTTATTTAGCTAGCTATATCAGCGTGACATGTGCTATGTATTATAATGTATCTAGTTACCAATAGTATATAACATTAAGTCAAATATCGAATCTATGAGTAGATATAATATTATAATAGTAAATCCACATAATATACTCACAATAGCAAGTTTTGGTCCTTATTAATACCGTTTTTGTTGAATATAAATCATAAATTTTATTTCACATATACGATACCGGATATTAAACGGCTACATTATAGACATAATAATATAAAATACTCGTATTAGTACCTATATTACTTCGTTAGACCCTGATCCTTATTCATCTCCTAACCATCCAGTAGTGTTATATTTATTTGCACAGATTGTAAATTTGAAAAATAAAATCCTAACTTTTTACTTTATTTCATTCCTTATTTAAATTATATAAAAATATACGGGTAAATAAAATGAAAGTCCGCGAATTTAAAATACAATATGCAATTTCAATTTTCGTTGTCAACGTTGAACTTTTGTAAAATTGTACCACGAAATAATGGCAATTCAAAATGTAAATATTACGATAATACGGTTCTCTATGTAGTGTAAAATTTAAATGCATGTAAGTATAATATTATAACACATGAAATTTAAAACTATATAATATTATAGGTAATAGTTTTAATTAAAATTGCATTTAAACAAGTCTGAAAATTAATGTCTCATATAATCATTTTTTATAGTAAATTGTATTCACGAATATATTGATATACATCTTGTTTAATTTTAGAACCATAGAAAAACCTATAACCGGCTATTTTGTACTCTAGCCTGACACTGTAATACAATGAAATAATAATAAACCACAGTGCTTTGTCTAGCGATGAACATAATGCTTTGCCCATACTACCCACATTACTTATAAATACATTATTCAGAAGTTTAAAAGTTCATATAAAAAAGGAATATATTAATTTTCTGTTTCTTTAGTTTAAAAAAAGGTTTCTTGTACAAGTTGAGTCCTAGCGGTGTGTAACTAAAATTTAATACATTTTTCGATTAAACACATGGTTGAATCCAATAAAATACCTATACCTAGTAGATATGGCATTACTCAAAGGTAAAAATGTAGATTTTTATTTTACTGTTCATTAAAAATAAAACAAGTATTAATTATCACTATCCATTGTTTAATCCATTGTATTAATAAAATTCAACAAATTTTCATAAAGTTTATCTTACGAACAAGTTGTTCGAAACAACTATTTTAACTTAATAGGAACCTACTTAGCAGTAAGGAGATTCATAGTTTCATACACTTCAGTTATTATATAATATCATTTTAATTTTCAGAAAAAACATAAAATGTGTATGATAAAAACTAATTGGCAAATTGAACCATAATATACCGCTCTAATTTGAGTCGTAGCAGCAGTGGTGTAGTGGTGCCCCGGTGTCCGGTGTGCTGATCATTGATCGAGGTGTAGATACAGGTTGATCCTTTAAACTTTTACGACATTTATAATGACTATCTTACGTTGAATAGATCACCCCGTGATCCTCAAGATAGTGGATAACCTTGCCCCTTGGGGTGTTACTGGCTTACTGCTGCATCCTCGATGTAGAAAAGAGTAATATTTTCTAAATAGTGGTCACATTATATAAATATAAATAAACCGCCGCTAGATGGCGTTAGATGTTTCACGAAAGAGTTAGTTGCCCCAACTTGTAGTGCAGCTCACACTAACGATACGCCGCCACCGCCGATGCCGCGATTTTGTTAAAAGTCGGGTAGACCCTTCTCGTAGCAGCGTTCAGTTCAGTGTACCGAACGGCTCCATCCGCGAAAGCTGCGGGGCGATCGGAACACGTGTTGCTGCGCGCTGCTCTCGATACACGCGACTAAACGATATGATATTTTAACTTACAATCACTATTTTTTTATACTCGATCGTTATTATTTTAATGTTAATATTATTTTCTTTATCTGGTGCTCTCACATTATAAATATATTGTCACACGCGTTAACCCATTCGTTTTTCAGTGTCGCGTACGGTCGTATCTTAAAACATAGAATTTCGCCAAAAAAATAAGTTTCTGAAAATTTACTTCCTTTCTGGGGGGATAATATTGTACAAGTAGTGACGCGCTGCACCGCGCGCCGTCTCCGCGACCAATCGGCGGCGGTGCAGCCGGCGTTCGCGGACCGCACGTTTTGGCTTTGCGGTGTCCACCTGTTGCCATCTCATCGAAAGTAGTAGTGACAGAGACAGCGACATCGGTAGAAGAAGTAGCGGTGGTCAAATCGCACACTTCATCATGTCATCGCACAGCAGTTCCATGCGGACGTTCCGGAGTTCCGATTCGGCCAGCGAGATCGGATCGTCCGAGACTTCGTTTTCCGAACGGTCTCAGCCCTACTTTGCTCTGTGTTCGCCCCGATCCAAGTCGTCCATTAACGTGTCCAATAGCGGTAGCGTCGCTGTCGCTGCGGGTCCGGGTAATACTGTCGGCAGGTCTGGTTCCATATCATCCGGAATCAACCATAGTAATAACAACAACAACAACAACAACAACAACAACAATAATAATAATTTCAAGCAGTCGGCTGCACAACAACCGCCAACGGTCGCTTACCACCATCAGCCATGCCGGCGGTCGTCCAGCGCCAAGGCGGCCAATAAGCCGCGGCCTGTCGTCCGCCGGGACCTGGGTCACGTCAACTCGTTTCCGGACGCGCACTACAACATGCATCACAAGACGCCACCGGGTGGTGGTTCGTCGTCCACGTCGTATTACACGCCACCAAGGAGCCCGTCGCTGAGCGTGACCACGCCGACCGACGGGCCACCGCGCCGTAGCCCTACAACCCCGTCGTCCAGTGCAGTGTTTAAATTCCCCTCGTCCGCGGTTTCCGCCACCATCGCCTCTTCGTCGTCCGGTGGCTCGGCCATTGTCCACCATTACGGCCGCAGCGGTGGCACAAACCCAAACACACCGAGGACTCTACCCAGGAGTCCATCCACCGGCAGTGCCGCTACTTCCACGTCGTACAACACCAACAGTGACAGCGCGTGCAACACCCACAGGTTAGTCCAGATTATCCATTTTTGTCATCACACCTGTTGTTTCGTATTAAGCCATATTATATAGGTACCTATACCGGCTATACCTATACTTATATTGAGGACGAACTTGTAAATTATATATTATTGTGCAGTTGCATAATTTTTTTTCACCGTTTTTTTTTTTTTTTTTTGGGTGGCAATTGTCATTGACGTTCTTTATAAATTATACTACAATTTAATTAAAAAATTTTAATTCGTTAGAACAAAAAACGTTTTATATAAAGTAACATAGGTATGGGTGGATTAAGCCTGTAAAAGCCTATACTGAAATACAATTATAGAAGGCCTCACATTTAGGAAAATTAAGAGGAGCTGTCAGTATTTTTTGTTAAACACAGTCGTGGCCCGTAGAAAGTAATAAATTGATGGATATCCATAACTCTTATTTATAAATGAGTGCTGTACTCAATCTTTTTCAACATTTAAATTTAAAACAGTACCTGTTTCTAATGTTTATCATAATTTATAAATATCCTAAATACATATTTTGAAAATATTAATATAATAATATTCATAGTTCGCATACAATTATTATAATAGAATAGGTATTATATAAATGTCAATTTTTGAAATAAAATAGTAAATAGAAATTATAAAAATCGCTCTTGATGATTGATGTTTGATAGGTAAAAGTAGTAAAAGTAAAACTTGAGAATATTCGATAGCTGATAAATTATGATACCATTAATACTTTATATATTAAAAGCACGGTTATAGTAATGAACGTTTTACCTTGTCACGGTTATAGAACATTAGAAGTACGTAGCCACGTATAACATTCAAAGTGCTTGCAGTTTCGAGGTTTTTGATAAGAACATTGTAAGTATAGGGTCAAATAATATTGTCCTCATCGTGCAACCATTTGGCATTTATGTCTATGATTGAAACATTTGAAACATGATTAAAGTTAGAATATATGTAAAATAATGTAAAATCTACTATATGTTATAATTCATAACGCCAAATGCCAACTGTAAATACATTACACCAATAATATAATATATTATCAAGGAGTATCGTTCTATAGTATTCTATTTTAAAATTCGGAAATGACAGTTGATGGGTAATAATAAGGATTTAAAGCTGGTTATCCCTTAACTATGACCTCTTGGGGCTTAATAATAAAGTGCTCTATGCCACTATATAAGTACAAGGGCATACTATCTTGCAGGACATAGGCCAGTGGTCCGTTCCACCCCCGAACACAGACATTGCTATGTGCTGCAGTTTCATATCTCTATACATTTAACTTCATAAATAACAGAGCTCTAATTATAAGACATACTATAATTCTATGATATATTAATACATATTTAAATGATTTAATTTCTCAATCTATATCTGTACCAAAAACTTGTATAATACCATTGTTTACTAATAATAATAATTTATGTTGTAAATGGGCTACTACCCGTCTAGATAAAATAAATGAATAATTTATTGTGATAACACAGGTTTACGTTTTTATGACGAACTACCTTTTTTTTATTATATTATATTCTTAAAACCTTTTTAGGTTATCTTATCATTACAATGTTATCATATCATTACAAATACTATTATTGATACCGTTTAGTACCTACATTACCTACTTTAGTTGTTTATTACTACTATGTATAATAAAAGCATACCGTGCTATTTTTTCGAATTAAAAGGGGGTCTAGGATCCTCCCCAAGACTCCACCCATCAGTACCTAATCACCATTGGATGGTTATGTATAGATACATAATCTCGCGACCAGTATTTACTCAATTATGTTGTTATTATTATCTAGTCTGATATCGATTTATGAATGATTGAACATTTGAACTTTTTTAAATAGAATAATATATATCTAATATTTATACGATCTGAAAAATAGTTTTATGTCAATATGTGTGTATTTTTTTTCTTATGTTATACCGAGGAAAAAAAAACAACCATTCAGATATAATTTTCATACAAAGAAAATCAGTTTAATGTGTTAAAATAATGTATTTTTTAATAAATATAATTATTTTATTGATTGGATTTTACTCTTAAAAGCATTCAAAATTTAGGTACTCCAGTCCATTTATTGTTCAATGATGAGTGATGACTGATTACTGATATACTCTAATTCGTAATACATAAATTTATTTACATTGTTCTGAGTAAAGTTGATGGTATTGGCTCAATATTTTACTTTTATGTAATTAATAATTATTATGGTAAGGGCTAAATATAAACGAGTAAAACAAATAAGTACAAAGAAGTTGTTGCTAATAAATAAGAATGTTTTTATTACGACCATTTAGTATAATATTATTATATTAATATTGTGTAATTATTATTAGTACCATGTACGTAAATGGCAATTTGTAGAACTTTGTGTCTTAGTAATTTAAGATGACGTGAAACTGGCATTTGTTGTCTTCATCTTACAAGTGCTTAACAAAGCAAATTTACTATGAGCAGATCGCATGTAGCTTCGTTATCTTAAAAATTAGAGTGAATCAACCTTTTATGAAACTTTATGGTAAGAACATTATCTGTATTTGTATGTGAGTTTTTACGATAATACAGTTTTTAAGTGAGTGTAATGAGCATTTTTAATTTACGCTTTATAATACAGATACTCAAAACTAGCTAAAAAATTGAACCTAAAAAAGGTTGAAAACCCTACATACAAACACAGTTAATATGCTTACCATCTAGTTTCATAATAAGTCGATTTCCTCAAATTTTTTTTACTAACAAAGCTACACGTGATCTGCTGAGCGTAAATTTGGTATTTAGCACTTGTAAGACGGAGACAACTGAGTCAGTGTTAATTTATAACATAATATACATCATAATTAACTAAGCATTCTTATTCCCATTTATTTCTTTATATAAATTTAGATTTTTGGAATTTTCAAATATATTATGTTTTAATCATCAAATTTTCAAATACTTAGATTTTTATACTGTTTATGGAGTTTCCTGAAGCGATATCTACTAGTTTCTCTTTACAAATAAGAAACATCATTCTTCTTCCTGTAAATTGTTAAGCAGATGAATTTTTAAAAAAATTATATGTATCTAAATCGAAATTTGAAGTATTTATTTATATTCTAGGGGTAACGATCAAGGTAAATGATAAAAATAAGTTATGAAGATTAAACGGATATTTTTCAATATATTCATATAAAAATCATAGTAATTAATCGAAAATTAATTTAGAGTTTGAATTTAAAATGCTAAGATATTTGGTATTTAACAGTAAATTAACAAATTCTTAAGAGTTCAAACGATTTTCTCATTTCGTTATATAAAAACTATTAACCGTAAATACTTGAAATTTTCATCAATTTTATCATTTTCCATACATCATAACATTTATTTTGACTAGTTTTGAGTTATTTATAGACATTTAAAATTTTTTAGTTTTACTTTTTTGATTTTTTTTTCAAGTAAATATGCGGTAATAATTGAAATAAAAAAGTCTGAATTTTGAAGACTTCAAGAATTTGTGTTAAATAGGAAAATAATAGAAATGTAACTTGGTAGTAATGAATAGGTGGGTAATTAAGCTAGCTTTAATATAAAATATTAATGAGAGGAATCCGATATCACACCCAAGCGGAATAACGATTTGAATTCACAAAAACGTCGGCGTAAACAGTCCCCAAATTTCAATTTTTTTTTTCTCTTAAACTATGATAGCTAGAAAGTTGGTTAATAGCTCATTAAAAAGAGGAAGAATATACAAAATGTGAAACTAAACATTAAAAAAAAAAAATTGTTTAATATTTCACAGTGAAAATAAGAGTTATTTTCCGCTAATTTTCATTTAGCGGAGTAGATTTTCAAAACTGGAGAATGGATTTTGTTGTTTGAGGTTTTTTCAAGGTCGTGTTAGATTTGCATTAGCTAGGAGAAGTGCAGTGAAGATTTTCAGAACTTTATCTTCGACCCTTAATTCACTACAAAGCTTTAAAGCTGAAAAACATCAAAAAACGCCATATAAAATGTGTTTTAATTTTTTTAAAGCTCCCTAGTGAATTAACTATTAAAGATAAAGTTCTGAAATCTTCACTGCACTTCTCTTAGTCAATGTGAATTTAACAAGACCCCAAACAACGAAATCCGCTCTTCGGAGATCTGTCACTAAATGAAAATTATTTTTTTTTGCGGGGTGGGTCAGACCGACGTTTTTCTGGATTCAAATTATTACTTTAAGCGTGATATCGGAAAATATTCATATTACTAAATTAGGTATACTATTTGTTATCAAGTTTAATAAATAAAACTAGCAAAATGATTTTAATACCTTTTAAATTCTAACCAGTTATATTTAACTTCTTGCTATATTCTACTATAATCTAATATCTTCTCAATAAATCATAATTTCCTGAAAGTACAATTTTGGTATAATCATATTGTAATAAAATACATACATATTACTTACAGTTTTCTAAAAATTAAAAACCAAGAAAGTTTACATGCTAATATCTGAGTTAGCAATCGTTTTTTATTCTATAAACACCAATACAAGTTTATTCGTTGGATCAAAAAGCTTATTAAATCATATTAAGTGATTACCTATTTGGCTACGTGATATATTCATGGTATATTATATCCATATTTATATGTATTATAATATTCTTCTCTATAAAATATTTATTACTAGAAATACATTATAGTTTCAATATCTGTTATTCATAACCTGTATGTCATGATATTTAATATTTATTATATTCTTAAGACTTAAAGAAACAAAAAAAGTTGAAAGCATTTTTAAAACTTAGTTTATTTAAATCATCTATGGTTAAAAGTTCTGTATATTGTATATAATAGCTAAGTATTTTACTCTCAAATGTTACTCGAATACAACAAGACAATAATTTAAAAATAAATAATGACGAACTATAAGTATATGATTTGTTTTAAAATTGAATTTTTATCACATACTCAATAGAAACAGATAATATTATAGTGGACTTGACTCTTGGATTAG